GTGACTTCCTTGCCCGAAAAAAACACGCAATGCCCGAAAGGGTAAGGGTTGAAATCGGGATGCAAACGGAGACGTTCACCATTTTCCCATCTAATGAAACTGCTATCATTGAAAGCTGTCAATAACTGGTAGTTACCAGCTGGGTGACATCAGCTCGTATTATGTGATACTTTAACACTGAGATTTACGGATAGAATCGATCGAATAGAATAAACGAATTACTTAATGGATTTGCGTAGTACCTTTCGCCTTGTTGACCTTGACGGCCGCTTGACCTTTAGTCACCTAAGTTTTTCACGTTTTCTTGAACCTTTAAAGTCCACGGAATTCACAACGAATCGAACGAACTTCAATGAGGAAACCTAAACCTTCATGTGAACTCGCCAAAATGTTTTCCCYCTCTCCGCGAAATTGGCGCGAAAATTAGGCACGAACTGCAGCAGATGTTAGCGAAACAATACACTTTACATTTTACACGATATCATTCAAATTACGAAATCTCTAAAGACACCACTTTCGGGCATCTAATCACCTGAAAAGCAATTAAATAGAAACTTTATCTACGACTTTTGGAAATCACGCCAGCAGCATTATTTTATCATGTTTTCTCCCAAGTGTCATTGCCCGAATCAAGAGCGTTTTGCCCGAAAAATTACATAATTACCTCAGCTCGGGGGTGGCTGCAGCTCCCCCCCTCTCCCCGCCTCGTATGCCTATGATCTTGGGTCCAGTGCTTTCTACAATTTATATCAATGACTTAATTAGTGCTATTACCCACAGTCATACTGCCGCGTATGTCGATGAAAGTCAATTGTACTTTAAATTTCCTGTATCAGATTCATCAAGGGCTATGGCAGCCAAGATCTTAGGAATATTCAGTTACAAAATGGTGCGCGACAGATGCTCGACTAATAAACCCTGACAAGACAAAATTAGTGGTTGTTGGCTCAGCACAACTTTTTAAGAGGCTACCTCCTATTTCATTATCTTTATTAGGCAACACTATCTCACCAGTTCCGTTTGCCGAGGATCTAGGGGTATATATTGACCAATATTTTACCTATGATATACATATCACTAAGACAGCCTCTAATTGCATGAACCAGTTAGTACACATCAGAAGAATTAAACATCTCTCAGACAAGAAAACACTTATTGCTTATAAATAGCTTAATTTGTTTTCAGTAAATTGTTTTATTGTTCGTCAGTGTGGGGGAACATATCTAAACGTAATCTATACAAACTACCGTTGGTGCAGAAATTTGCTGCCAGAGTTGTATTGGGGTTAAGGAATTTTGACCATATCTCTCAGGGTCGGAGATCTCTTAGATGGTTAGATGTTACAGAGAAAGTTTTATTTAATGACTTGGTTTTAGCATTTAAATGTGTAAATGGTCTAGCTCCAGATTCTTTAGTTAAATATTTTGCTAAACGTTCAGCAGTCCACAATGGGAATACATGGGGATGTAATAGTTTTGTGATTCCCCGATGTAGATTGTCAACGGGACAAAGGCGGTTTTACTACCGAGATCCAAGGGAATGCAAAGGGCTAGCTGAGAATATTAAGAACGTGAAAGAAATTGATAGTTTTAAGAAGAATCTTTTTAAAAATATGTTTTATAAGAAATGAATTTAGTTTAAATTGTTATTGTAAACAAGTTTAATTAGTTTACTGTGACTGAAAAGCCCTGTTGAAGGGAGTTCCAATAAAGTTTGTATGTATGTAGGTATGTCAGTTTGAAATTTCACAGTCACAAATCGAGGTCCATATTTTTGAAGTGAAAGTCATTACAATATATGATAATGAGAGTATAGTTGTGAACACTTGAAAATTAGACGCACGTGGGAACTTACTGGAATGTTTAAACAAATGTTTTTTTTTTAGCCAAGAACGAGCCAAGAACATTCTCTGGAGCCAAAAGGTTATGAATGTGCGTGCATGTGTGTAGTGCTTTTGAATATACTTGCCTTTTTGTGGCTACTGCCTCCCATAGAAGGCAAAGCCTACAAATTTTCGAGACGAGCGAGTGAGTGTAACAATAGAATTACGATGTTGACCCGATTTCGACCCGATATTTCTCGGTGCTAAATTTGCGAAGCTAACAAGCTGCGATTACGATACCTTAAGTTATTCAATAGAATGATGAAACGGAAGAATGATGGATCGGTAGAATGGTGGAATGGTAGAATGGTAGAATGGTAGAATGGTGGAATGGTGGAATGGTGGAATGGTGGAATGGTGTAATGGTAGAATATCTTAAGACGCGGAGTGATGGATTATCCTAAAACGTACATGGAATACCTTTTTGCATTAAACAAATTAAAAGTCTCAAAAAATGGAATTTCTATGACAAAAAAAACTCTTTACAATGAACAGGCAAAATTAAAAGGAGCATAGGTAATCATTGTTGGAGTCCAGAGGATAGGTGAACCATGAGGCTTTCGAGCTAGTCCCTGGCTTTAAATTATTATTGCATTGCTATAGTTATTATTGACAATTATTCGCCTCAGGCTCGGTGAATATCATCGAATAATCCCCGAGACAAAGTCGAGGGGATTATTCGACGATATTCACCGAACCTGAGGCGAATATTTGTTTTAGTATAATTTCAGAGCTGAACAATGGAGAAATTTCTAAAATTATAACATTTTAGTAATATTTATAAACATTTTATTTAAACATTTTATATAAACCGCGTGGAGCGGTTTATATAGCGTCATATATGGAACCGCTTGACCAATAAGATTGCTGGAAACTCTTTACTTGCTCAGCTCTGAAACTATACTAATTATTATTATTGTTCATATTATTACTTGTTACCATTTAATCATTTAATCATAGGGTTAAATGTCAATGAGACATTTTATATTCCTGGATCATCTTTCTCTTGTGGAACAGGGTTCTCATAAGTATACGGGATACAGCGGGCTTCCTGGTTTGAATGTGAGACAAATAGTCTACACCATTATCTTCAGGTGTCATTATATAACCACTACTTCTTTTCAATGCTGTAAAAAATTGTACAATACCAGTAGCCACATGCAGTCTTTGAGTGTCTATTTTTCTTTTTTGACTTCCAAACTTGCTTTAAAAGCATCATTTTGTCGTTGTTTTCTACAGAAACAACTCAATGAGCTTCTCGAAAGCAGCGGTGTCAAGTTGGTCGTAATCGACTTTTATGCCGATTGGTGTGGTCCATGCAAGATAATGGGGCCTAAGTTTGAGGTAATCAAATATTGAAAAAAGATTCCTCTCTAAAAAGCAATCATTAAGAGATTAGCATAGTGTATCTGACTACTTAGCAAACTAAGGTCCTGATGAGAGTCAAAGAGGGTCTCCAAAATTGTGGCACAGGCTTAGGACGGAAAAAGGCTTTGCCCTCATCCTCTATAACTTTGTCACGCCCGACGTCTTGTCATCTGCACAAGGGTGGGGCAAGGGTAACGAGGTTAAAGGGTTCATGGGTACCCGTGACCCCATTCACACCTAACAATAAACTGAAATATCTCATGATAATGACCAGGTGTGCTCTCAAACTTCAGTGGAAGCCCAGTTAAGGATCCTTCCACCCCACCCCACCCCACCATCTGTATATTTATTTATCAATTGTTGTTAGTTATCATTTATTCATAGGAATTGGCCACGGAGTTTCCTGACGTTGTGTTTGGCAAAGTAAACGTTGACAAGGGAAAGGTATACTTAAGAGGAGAGCTGACAGTCAACAAAGTGTACTGCCACTCGGATATATGATTTTCCATATTTTAATATGTGATGGGAAGAGTCATTTGCTCGCAGCCCAAGTCTATCGCATGAGCTTTTTTCTATCACCAATTGACGCATCAATTTTTCCCTCCTTTTTTTGCATAGGGACAATGTTGGCTTAGTACCCTTTTGATTTCTTACTCGGACCTGGTTAACTCAGAACGACTAACATAAACCGCAAAAAAAATTAAATTAAAAATTATTCGATCTAAGAGAAATGCATTTATAATTCGCAATCATAACAAACGTAAATGAACTCTTTATCTCAAAGCAAAATTCAGAAATCGTGATTGTAAACTTACTTGTGTGGCAGGTCGTTAACAGTGCTACTTTAAAGGTCAGCGGATTCTTCAAGTGAGCGGATTATAAAAAGACTACATGAAATAACTATTTTTCCCTTATCGACTCTTCTGAAAAAACTGGTTTGAAAAATATACTAACGCTTTTAAATTCATGCACAGAGTTAATGTCATTCACGATTCTTGTAATCAATTAAATCTGTCATCAAGAGGCAACGCTTATTTGCTAAACGAAACACCCTTTTCTTTTTTCTTTTTGTTTTTGTTTGTTTGTTTGTTTGTATTTTTAAACCAATTTTTTGCGAGCGCGATCGCCAAGGAAAAATATTCAACTGCAAATAAGAAATGGTCTGTACCTGATATTCCAATTGGAGAACTAGGGCCCGTTTCTTGAAAGTCCCGGTAACTTAACTCAGCCGTGTTTTAAAAATCAAT